CACCATCTTATAACAGAACCTTTATGGGCAAAAGGCTCACTTTGTGTTCCCAGCAGAAGGTTTAAGTCACCACAGCAGCTGCAGATTGATGCTAGGCCTAGTACAAAATCTTTCAGCTTTGACCATCCATTGAACCTGCACAAAGGTTTGATACGGAACAGGAAGAATGGGAAGTAATAGTCTCAGAAATAATTAGGTTTTCTTAAGAGTGCCTGTTTTATTCCAGTTTATTCCGTTCTCACTAGAATAGTCCCCATTCGTTCTTTTTCCAAGAAGTTTGAAACATGGATACTCAATGCCTCCCTCTCCATATTGTCTCCTTACACTAACACAGTCCATTTCTCCACACCTAAACCCAATGAATGAAAGAAAACCAAGGCACTCTTAAGAAAACCTAATTATTTCTGAGACTATTACTTCCCATTCTTCCTGTTCCGTATCAAACCTTTGTGCAGATTCAATGGATGGTCAATGCTGAAAGGTTTTGTACTAGGGCTAGCATCAATCTTCAGCTGCTGTGGTGACTTAAACCTTCTGCTGGGAACACAAAGTGAGCCTTTTGCCCATAAAGGTTCTGTCATAAGATGGTGAGAATGTGCTCCTAAAAACTGGATCATTGAAACTTGTCCTGGGAAAACTGTTTTCATTCCCCAAATGCTAAGAAACCATTTCATATCAAATGTATTGCAGAATAACTGATGGGACAAACAAACATTGGAAGTAACATCTGGTTGACCAGCCTTACCAAATTCATTTTTATTAATGTTCTCATATCTCTACCCTGTTGTGTGTTTATGCAAGAAAAAGTAGAAATAAAAGATCCTATAGTTGTAGCAATAATAATCCTCATAATCCCCAACATAGAACATCTTTCCAAAGGAGATCTTTTACAAGGGAGGGTGGAATGAATTAAAATCTTTTTTTTTCAGATTTGTTTCCTGTATTGCTTGTTCTGCTTCCATAGTTCACCCTCTACTTGCTACTAAGAAGTGCTGCTAACCTGTTAAACCAAGAAGAAGTGAATAGCTTAGAGCCAAAGGATAAATCCTCCGTTTTTTCAAATAGACTTGGTCTAAAGAATTAATCTTTAAACTGCTTCTTTTCTGAATACCTTATTGTCAGGGGAGGGATCCTACTGTCTTAACAACCAGTTTGCTGAGTGTGCGCTTTGAAGAAAAGATTGAACAACCATTTGTCTGAAATGATATAGGGTTTCCTACTTGGGCAGTGGGTTGGACTAGAAGACCTCCAAGGTCGCTTCCAACTCTATTATTATGAAACGAATGAGGTAGAAATTGGACTTTGATGCAAAGCATATTATAGAGACAAGTACATTCACCATAGGGTAAGTGAAGATAATTGCTAAGGTGAAACATGTGATGTTAAATTGTGACTCATTTATGGGAGCTCATAAAAATGTAGTTCATGGAGAGATGAACTCCATGGGTAGGATGGAGACCTTTGTGGTCAAATGGTCTCCCAGATAATCCTTTGCAGTCCCCAATATATTAAAACAGATTAAACTGGTCACAAGAAAGGAATTTATCCTGGATGAATGAAGGGGGCTATACTGTTTCTCAGAGGAATTCAATCTTTCACTGATTGTTTTGACATGATTTATCTGGACTGTAATTTCCTGGTCCTGTGTATATGTTCCTTATCAGATATCAGCACAATCAGATATTGTGGGATTCCCATTTTTCTAAGCACATCTCATAGCACCTGGCTGACATAATAATCAATGAAGCACATGTTGATTTATTTTTTATTATTATTCTTTGATATTCTCAGTTGTCCAGAATACTTCAAAAATAGTGTATTTTGTTCCTCAGATTTTTCTGAAACTAGCTTGAATGTCTGGCATCTCCCTTTCCATGTAATGTTTTGCCCCAGATGAGAGGGAGAGAGGAAGGAGAGAGAGAGAAATAAAAGGGTGTTTGCATTATATTATTGTCATATAACTTTCATGTATAGAAACCTAGAGCAAAAGGCTGCTATATTATATATTCTATCAGTACTGGGGAAAATCAGAAGTCAGTTTTGATAGATTTCTTTTCTGTATTTTTCTAAGAAATGTTTCTCACTTTTCCCCCAGCCCTTCTATTTTTTCCCCATTGTGATTTTGTATTTCATCGTTCTTTGGAAATTTCATAAAGTTATTTGAAAGGCTTTGAGCACTCAAGATATGCAAGGAAAGGCACTGACTGCCATTGCTCTGTTCGCCATTGCATACCATGTGCTCTGAGGCTGAATGGTTTTTCCAATTGCAATGCCTCATCGTCTGACAGCAGGCACAGCTGCTTTTAGTGACTATTGATCAGCAAAACTCCTGATCATGTTGATTAGCCTCACTGATTGAATCCTTGAAGCTTCCTCAGATTGAAATGCAACCTGCTGTCCCGCAGGAGAATCTTACGTGTCATACTCCTCAGTGTCAGCATTAGGCAAGAAGAACTAAAGAAGAACTAAATAGGTTGCCTTTCCACAGTAGGGATAGAATCAGGGCTGGGTTTCAACCGGTTCGCACCGGTCCCTGCGATCCGGTTGGTCGCCGAACCCGGAAGTAAGTAACTTCCGGGAACGGCGAANCTGCTGATCTAGCAGTAGCCTGCAGTGCTGCATTTAACCACTGCGCCACCTTGGCTCTAAAAGGACGGCAGGGAAGGGAACTAGGCAGGCTGCTTTTACCATTGGGGTGGGCAGTGTTTTTTTGCGTGAGAAAGAACAGGCGGGAGGGGGTGATCGCATTGCTGGACTGCTGCTCTTTTTGCGCGGGAGGGAAGGGTGGGGGGGTGGAAGTACTTTGCTTTGCTTGCCGCTGTTTTTGTGGTGGGCTCTTTTTGCGTGGGAGGGAAGGGCAGGGGGGCGGAAGCACTTTGCTTTGCTTGCCGCTGTCTTTGCGGTGGGCTCTTTTTGCGCGGGAGGGAAGAGCGGGAGGTGGAAGCACTTTGCTTCACCTGCCACTGTTTTTGTGGCAAGCCCTCTTTTTGCCCCGCAAGCTGTACCGGTAAGTGGTACTGTGGTAATGGTGGGGACCGTTTGTACATGTGCTTAAATAATTGGGATGGGCTTATTTTTGGGGGAGGGCTTATTATGGTGCATGCTCTGAAAAGCCCAATTGGGCTTATTAGCAGGGCATGTGTTATTTTCGGGGAAACACGATACTAAGAGATACTGCTAACCTGTTAAACCAAGAAGTGAATGACTTAGAGCCAAAAGGATAAATCCTCCATTTTCTCAAGTAGACTTGGTTGAAAGAATTAATTTTTGAACTGCTTCTTTTCTGAACAACTTATTGTTACAAATAAAATAAGATCCCTGTAGATTAAAGAAAAAAATATTGCCACATTTCTCCCTACATAGAATTGCAAAATGGGTGCTGGGGGTGGCAAATATGTTGCAGGTTATGGTTCTCTGGGCATGGATAGGTTAGAGCCTTCCAAGATAGCCTGTGCCTTATCTGAAGGAGGTCTGTAGGGCACACTCAGCATGTTACTTGATTATCTTCCCAGCCTGACATCGATAGCTGGGAAGATTCTGGAAAAATATAAGCAATGAATCTGCAAACACCTAGAGGCACACAAATCATAGCTAGATGCCAACATGGGTTTGTCAAAAACAGATCATGCCAAACAAATTTTATTATATTCTTTGACATTGTGATAAAATTAGTGGACCAGAGAAATGCCATGGTTATGATTTACTTGGAGTTTAATAAGACATTTGATAAAGTAAACAAAAAACTACTACTTGGTAAGGTTAGCCAACATCACCACCAGAAAG